CCGCCGAGAAGTGGCAGAGCCCTTCACACGCAGCAACCGAGAAGTGGGAGAGCCTTCATACGGAGCCACCGCACGGAGCCTTCTCAGAGGGGAACCGCGTCTGCGTAGGCGGGCCCGATTTCTGGCGGAGAGTTGTAGACGAGCACCCGGACTCTTGAGTTGAGCGGCGACACTCACGTCGATAGCTTTAAGGTGGTGGCAGTAAGTAGGCATATGCCAAGCTCCTGGTTGCCGGGACCTTTGGGCAGGATCGGGTGAAGGGAGATTCTTTGGGATGCTCTGGAATCCACTGATAGAAGTCCGGCGGGAACCTGATACCACCCGCCAGGTTGCCGAAGTTCTGGCGATACTCACGTCAACAGCCTACAGATGTTAGAAGTGAGGAGGCGGAAAGAGGGGGCATAGACGAGGGATTCGTTCCGGCGCATGTGAGTGGCGCATTGAATTGACTCCCGTACTAGCCTGGAAAGCTAACAGCTCTGAGCTGACAGGGCGGCTCGACCCAGGCGTTGTACGGGGAGGTTACCGCGAGGGAAAACTGCGTTCTGGTGGGATCCAGATACCAGCCCAATGTACGACTGCGGGGGTGCGGGTAGAGGCTGGCGGCCAGGTGCCCACATCCGTATGAATTCCCTGTGGTAAAGTACAAGTGCGAGGGAGTCGCACTGCAGTTAATACTTCTAGTAGGCCACTGGCCGCGAGATAGGAAGGCTGCAGCGACAGAAAGACAGCCAGCAGGTAAACTCTGGTTCAGTGGCGTGTTCCAGTGGTCTGGAGTGAAGGCTGCTGCAGTAAAACTTGCTCAGTGCGGAATCTCAAGGGACCCGTATTTTTTTTTCGTATTAGACAAGACCCTGCATTATGCAATGTAATACTGTAGAATTTACGTTTGTAATGACCGTTCATAGTTGATTAGTTAGATTTCCGCATTATACATGTTCCGCATTGAGCACATTTTACTGTATTTGGAAGTATATTGTGATGGCGGTGGCGCGAACCCTCTTCTGCGCTGCTGGAAGCGGGTGCTCCACCGAACGCCACAGCAGCACGACTCTTGTCGCTCGTGTGAATACCTCGATATAAACCAATGCTTTGTTAGCATTAGTGAGGGGGCCCTCGAGGCACATTCACACGACTCTGACGCTCGTGTGAATACCCCGATATGAACCAATGGTTAGTCAGCATTGGTAGCGGTACCCTTAAGGGCAGTTCTCAATGCAAACACAAACATAAGCATGGCATTAACATAAAAGTTAGTTCAACGTCCATAAGCGGACATATTAACAATGTGCTCGCATAAACATAACGCGTAAGACGTTAACTTAAAAGCTTGCAAGCTTCAAGATTCTGTGCTTATCCTTAAGTAAGACATAAGAAATGAACCAATCACAGAACGGTAACTCAAAATCGAGAATCGAAATTCGAAGTCGGTAGAAGAACTAACGACATATGGGACATAGACACAGTCGATATCTTAAAATCGATTCTCACATCCAACCAGAAAGCCTCACAGACAATAGAAACCCGTATTTTGCTTACGTTTATGTTAGGCATTGTAAATACTCGAGTCTATCGCTTATTTGAATGTTTATGTCTATGCGCTTTGCATTGTGAACGGCTCCTTTACGTCCGGCGACAGCTGACGGTGGCGGTTGGCGCGCTGCGTTGCAGAAGGGCGCCAAGACGGAGGTGGCGGACGCCGAGGGCCGCACGGCGCTGGTGCGGGCGGTGCTGCTGCGGGACTCTGCGATGGTGTCGCTGCTGGTGGGCGGCGGGGCGGCGCCGTGGGCGTGCGCCGTGGAGGGGGAGAGGGTGGCGGCGATGGTGGCGCCGTCGGCGGTGGTGGCGGCGGCGCGCGACTGCCTCACCGACATCCTGCAGGTGCTGCTGCGCCCGGCGGCGGCCCCCGGCGCGCTGCCCGCGGCCCTCGCCCGCCGCGCCATGGCCGCCGCCGGCTCGTGCGCCGCCTTCCTCGCGCTGCACGCTGCCGCGCCCCGCGCCGCCTCCTGCGGCCACCGCCTCAGCGTGAGTCCCCTCCCCCACCCCTCCTGCCGGGAGAGGTTTGCCTCCTTGCTGCGCCTTATCGCTCTTCTTCTACTTCCGTTTTATCGCTTTACCTGCTTGCGTCCTATTACTTTATCTCCTTTCGTCTTATTGCTTTAGCTTCTTTTTGTCTTATTGCTTTATCTTCTTTTCGTCTTAGTGCTTTACCTCCTTTTCGTATTATTGCTTTACCACCTTTTTGTCTTATTGCTTTACCTCCTTTTCGTTTTATCGCTTTAGCTTCTTTTTGTCTTTTTTCTTTAGCTCCTTTTCGTCTTATTGCTTTAACTCCTTTTGTCTTAGTGCTTTACCTCCTTTCGTTTTATCGCTTTACCTCCTTTCGCCTTATTGCTTTACGTCCTTTCATCTTATTGCTTGACCTCCTTTTTGTAGTATTGCTTTACCCCCTTTTCATGGGATTGCTTTACCCCCTTTTCGTGGTATTACTTTACCTCCTTTCGTTTTATTGCTTTACCTCTTTTTACCTTATTGCTTTACCTCTTCGTCTTATTGCTTTACCTCCTTTCTCCTCTCCTCCTCTTATTGCTTTTACTCTTTTTTTCTTATTGCTTTACCTCCTTTTGGCCTTTCGTCTTTTTACTTTACCTCCTTTCATCCTATTACTTTACCTCCTTTCATCTTATTACTTTATCTCCTTTCTCCTCTCCTCCTTTTATTGCTTTTACTCTTTTTGTCTTTTTGCTTTACCTCCTTGCGTCTTATCGCCTTACCTCCTTTTGTCTTATTGCTTTACCTTCTATTTGTCTTATTGCTCTACCTCCTTTTCGTCTTATTGCTTTAGCTTTTTGTCTTATTGCTTTAGCTCCTTTTCGTCTTAGTGCTTTACCTCCTTTCGTTTTATTGCTTTACCTCCTTTCGTTTTATTGCTTTACCTCCTTTTGTCTTATTGCTTTACCTCCTTTTTGTCTTATTGCTTTAGCTTCTTTTTGTCTTATTGCTTTACCTCCTTTCAACTTATCGCTTTACCTCCTTTCGTCTTATTGCTTTACGTCCTTTCGTCTTATTGCTTGACCTCCTTTTTGTGGTATTGCTTTACCCCCTTTTCGTGGTATTGCTTTACCCCCTTTTCGTGGTATTACTTTACCTCCTTTCGTTTTATTGCTTTACCTCTTTTTACCTTATTGCTTTACCTCCTTTTCGTCTTATCGCTTTACCTCCTTTCGTTTTTTCCCCTCATCCTCTGTTTGTCTTATTGCTTCTCTTCCTTCCAACTTTTTGCTTCTCCTTCTGCTTTTGTATTCTATTCTTCATTTTATCTATTTTCCTAATCTCTTTTTAATTTTCTTCTTTCTCATATTTTTTCTTCTCTGCCACCTCGTACTTATCCCTCCTGATCATCGTCATCATCTTACTCCTACGTGCCACTTTTTTCTTTTATTGTTACATGACTACATTATTTTTCTCCTTTGTTATCTCCTCTTTAAATACCTAGAACCTCCTAAAATATGCTATTGTTCATGTTAGTAATTTTGTACATTTCTCTCTCAAGTGCAAGGGTAATTGTGTGTGAGAAGGCTACAGCCACACTCAATGGACATTTTATTTAATTTATATTACTTTGCCTTTGGAGAAAAGGAATAATATATTTTTTGAGTAAGAGGTGGTGTCACTCATTGCTCCTGGTATAGATATGAATCTCTCAGTCAACATGGCTTTCAAAATAAACAGTGTTCAGTCTCGTTTTTTTAACATCACTTTATATTTGAGGTTCTGTATCATGGAGGATTAGTGAAGATGGATTTATACAGGCTTTACAAAAGCCTTCGTTTAGTCAGATCATAATATCCTAATGTCTAAATTCTTTAAGCACGAGCTGAGAGATGCACGTCCGGCTTGCTTTCTAACCTTGTAAATAAGAGAAAACAGTTTGTCTTATTCAAACAGTAATAACTCAGTATATTACAATGTTCCCTCAGGTGTTCTGCAAGGCTCCCATCTTGACCCTTTTTTATTTAACATATTTATCAATGATTTACCTCAAGTTATCAAACACAGTGAAGTCTTGCTTTTGATACTAAATTATTTACCATGAAATCCAAAGTGAAGCCAATGCCCTTAATCTGCAGATGAACATTGCTTTATGATTGGTGTTTGGAGAATGGTATGATTCCGAATATCTACAAATGGTGTAAGCTTCACCAAAAAAAAAAGAAGCTTTTTAGCGATTTATATACTATTGACAGCCATGCTCTTGAAATCTGTGGATAACGTTGTGGATCTTGGTCTGACATTTGATGCACGTTTTGATTTCAATTTGCATGTTGAACAGATATGTAACAAAGCCAAAAAATGTTGAATTTCCTGATAAGAAACATGAAAGATTTTTGTAATATCCAGGGTTTCAAATGACTATTTTTTGCACTTGTAAGATCTATTCTGGAATATGCAGTGGTGGTGTGACCACCCCATTCTGAGGCTTCATTCACAATGATCGAAAGGATCCAGACAGTGGCGTAGTGTGTCAGCCATCCGGGGCGGGAAGAAATTTCTGTCCCCCCTTATTTAAGTATTTCAATTTAAAAGACTAAATTATCCAGTAATTCAACAGAACTTTTTGGCAAAAACAATAATCATTATTGCGTATTGTACCATAATTTTTATTAATCTATTACTTAGTTATTATTGTAAAATTCATTTTATTGATTTATAATTTTTTTCTGTATTATCCTTTTTTGTATGGGATTATCCTGTCAACAAAAAAAAAATACTTTGTGCAGACAATCAGGAATAATAATATTTTATGATTTGTGTAGGATACTCAGATCTCGTAAGTCAAAGGGAGAAAAGCAGTTTAATTAAGATGATCATCATAGGTACTGACCCTAAGGCTAGGTTTTTAGCGTGGACTAATTTTAATAACTACATTGCAAAAGAAAGAAGAATAAATTCAGTACTGTATTTTTAATAAGGTGTACTATCCATTCTGTGTAAAATTCATGTTCTCTGTAAGTGCTTGCAATAGTACAATAATTCAATATTTGAAATCAGACTTTCAAATGGAGTCGGCTTATACAGATTTCTTTTTAAGTCTAAGGGGGTCCATAGAACCACTCTGAAAGCGTCTCTGAATCTTTAATCTTTCATACCTAAAACTGACGTATTTATGAAGTAATCATGCTTGGTTTCTTTCACAGATGCTGGCACGAGTTGCAAGAGAAGGTTGGGCACGCCCTGTATCTGCTCTCTTGAGTTACTGCTCTGATCGAGGGTGCAAGGGTGAAGATCATTTGAAAAACCTCCATTGTGCAATACGAGTTGTCAAAACAGAAGAGATCCTGGACATCCTGTGGTCAGATGCGAGAGGTGCAACCCGTGCAGCCGTGATGCGGCGAGCAGCGGCCATGGGATGGCTCACTGTGCTGGAGAAGACCCTACTTAATTGGAAAAAGTACCCATCACTGGGGTATTATAAACAATGTGCTTATAATGTGAGTGTTCTGAAGCCATCAAAACGCAGTAATTTAGAGGTAAGAATGTTGCACATTGTCATTCGTTCATTCTGCCTCTCTGTGTCTGTTTGTCCATGCTTCTCTCTCGGCCTCTGTCTGCCCGCCTGCCTCTTCCTGTCTTACTGTCTGTCTGTCTGTCTGTCTGTCTGTCTGTCTGTCTGTCTGTCTGTCTGTGTCTGTCTGTGTCTGTCTGTGTCTGTCTGTGTCTGTCTGTCTATCTGTGTCTGCCTGTGTTTGTCTGCCTGCCTGCCTGCCTGCCTCTCTCTCTCTCGCTCTTGCTCATCTTCAAACTATCTCTTCTCTTCCCTCTTCTAGTCCAGAAAATTCACAGAGATTACCCTTTTCATGGAGAGAAGATTGAGTGGTGGTCACAAAGTTAAAATGTTTTTTCATTCGTGTTCTGTCATTGTGGAAAATAAAAATGCTCAATATTGTATTTCATTTCATGTAAAATGTTTTCAAAATATTAATAGTTTTCAAGATTTTTTGAAATTTTTGAACTGTAAAAGTGAACTATTTATACCAGTATTTAGACTACACTGTGACAAAAGGGCAACACTGCATGAGGGGTGAGGGAAGCATATTTGTTTGGGATATGAGGTATACTGAAGGGTCTCCGCACTAATCTGAACTATCTATTTGAATAATATTTGGTGATGGTGATTCCCAATCCATGCTGATGAAAGATGGTGTGAGACGCCATTACATATTTGTGCATTTTTATACTAGCTGAATCAACTAGTATTGTAATTTTATGTAACAATGATCAATAATTTTTTAAAAGTGTGTTGTTATACAACCACTAATTTTACATAAATCAGTGATTACCGTGTTCAACTAGATGTATAATGTATGTAAATATAAACATGGATGGAATATGTTCACTTTAACAAATAAAAAAGTGAAATCAATTATTCTTAATACTTATAAACAAAACTGTGTCCATAATTATATGACTTATAACTTTTATTGCAATGTTCTACATTATAATTTGCTGTTATTGTAAAATTCATGTTCTTGGGTACATTTGCCCTTTGGATAAATGAATCATTAAATGTAAATACATAAATAAATAGATAAGGAATAAATAAAATTTAAGTGGCTTAAAGTGAAAGAAATGGAGTTAAAAAACGATTTTTTTTCTTGCAGGTCATTGATGCACTGAGGGTGTGTACACAAGATCTGGTAGCTGTGAAGCTGTTGAAGGCTAGTCCCAAGATTGCACGCTCATATGTTGGTGAGGAGATCATGTGGCGTGCTGCCGAAAATGGGTGGTATCGTGTGTTACGCAAGCTCATCAAAAACGGTGTTGCTGTTGATTCCATTGGGCGTGAGGGTTCCACATCTCTGCACATGGCTATTGCCAGGTTACATCAATTTTTCATTTCTGCTTGTGCTCTTAAATAAATTGGCTTATTTACTTGTTCATATCTTTTGTTTGTTTAAATTAAATGTTTAATAGCAGAGTTAATTAATGTATTTAAAAAATCAGCAAATACAATGATGCTTGCTTCAATATTAGAAACAAATTTGCTAACATTGACAATCATTCTGCAAAGAACACTATTTGGTAACAAATTGTTGTAGTTGTATTAATAATGGAAGGTTTGCATGGGACAGACAGTTGAATTTTACGAAGAGTAGTGGGGCAATCAGCAAAGTTCTTTCAGATCTTAATAAACGTAATTAGTAAAGACAACTGCCTTCTACTGGCTGAACTTTAGATATGAAATTTAGCCAACAAATATTCATGGTCAAACCCATGGGTGGGTTGATAAATTCCAATGTCTCTATACACAAGGTACTTAAATCAACACTGATATTGTTCTTAAATTTTACAAAGACCCTTACGATTTAGTGACGAATGTATTGAATCATGTTCATATTCTAACAGTACTGAAGAATAATATTCTCAATATCTTAACAGAGTTGATCTTTCTTCCCAATCTAACGAGAATGCCCAAGGTTTTATTAACACTTAAGTACTTGTTGCTTAATGTGCAACTTAAATAAAAAATGACAATAAAATATTACACCGAGATCTTTAACACTACTGATAGTTTTAATTTTAATGTTATTGAAATTGTACGTGAAATTTTTGATATCTTTTTGACTTGCTAAAAGATAGCAAGTTCAATACTTGATTAAATTCTATTATGTGTTATACATACAACTTCAAAATTGATTAACTACTGTGCTGATTGCCATACTGGTGTTATAAACACCCTTACTTTCTCCTTTGAGCTACTTTTTAGAAACCAAGGAGTAAATATTATATAATGATATTTTAAGAGTTGTTAGGCCGAGGTGGTGCTCATTATATCCCATAACAATGTTCTTATCACAAAACATTTATTTGACTCAAAGAGAATGTCATAGTCAGAATAAGGTTAATGTGAAAAACATTGAAATATATAATTTTCAAATGGCACGAGCTAGAATTTTCATCCAAAATACTTTCAGTTGTTATAAAATTAAAGTTTGAAAACTCTATTTTGAAAATCATGCCTAAAAAAGTTTATCCTATTCACTGCAATCAGCTAACATTTGAGCCAGGTATTTGTGCCACCGCAACTCTTCTTTGCGTCACACTGCTTGTAATTAAAAAATAAATAAATAAATAAATAAGTAAATAAATTAAATAATAATCTTGATTGAACCGAATGTGATTATGTTCAGGGGTCACGAGGGATGTGTGCATACACTAGCCACCAATGGGGCATCACTAGAGCTGAAGGACGAAGATGGGTGGACGCCGTTGCACTGTGCAGCGGATAGGGGTAACAAGCGCATGGTGGAGATTCTGCTGGAAGCAGGGGCAGACCCCACTATCAAAGATCCGTTTGGGTTGACGCCGTGGGATGTTGCCACTTCTGGAAGCATAATGGCTTTACTCCCAAGACTGAAGTGAAAGCATGTTAAAAGGTATGTGCCATAAAGCCCAGAATGCATAAACTATTACTCTAGGCATTGAAGTTTTTCTAAGGTAATATGATTACTTGGATAATAGTTATGCACCGAAGGCGTTACAAGGGTTTCTGTCATTGGAGATAATTAGAACCAGTTAATACCCATGGTACCTACAAGATTTTATTTTTTACCTAATTTTGATGATTCATATTTCCTTATTTACTAATTAACTAGTTATGTTGATTCAGTTTGTCTTTTCGTATTTCCCTCCCACAATTCTCTCCAAAAGAGAACAGGTAGCATCATTCAATTCTCTTCATGTTTTCCTCGAAACCATGGTCTTCTCGATCCATTTAAGTTATGCAAGGTATTTCAAGCTCAGTGGGCATTATCAAGCAATAATGTATAAGTAAAAAATAAACACTTTTTTTGTAGTAATCATGATTATAACTTGAGAAAGAAGAAGAAAAAAAGCTTTTATTTTAAACTAATTCATTGTTTATTACACATACTTCTTGCAAGAGTAACAAACTTCACTTTGCATTTTCCCTCTTTTAATATCACACATTTCATTTTATCCTCTTTTTATTAATTGAATTGTTAAATATTGTTTCCCTTTGTTGGATTTACATTTTTTCACTTTCAAAGAGTGAGTTAATGTCAGAGCTGGAAATTTTATGCAAGTGTTTGGCCCTGAAATAAGCATGCCAATATATCACAAAAATGATGAAATATGCACATAATTTCTTTAAGATATACAGAGTTTGGTCACAAAAAAGTATTTTACAACGACTATGCATCTTTTTGACACCTAGATGAACAAAGAATTTGCAATTTAAAAACTGATTAGTAACTACTTCTACACATTTCATTTTTCATTAAGAGCACAGAAAGTCGCTAGTATTTTATTCAGGTTATCTCTTGTTGGGAAGTCTCATTTTGTATGTAGAATATGATCATTACCAATAACATGATGTTATGGCTGCAAACTTATATTTTGACACTTTTGTGCTCAAACGTGATTGAACTGGTCCAACCACATCAATCACGTTGCGCGCAAAGCTTGGAAATCACTCCATTTTGTAATGCGGATATTGAGGAAAGGAAACGCGAACACAAAGCGCTTAGCGTATACTTCCCTTGTGCGTCCGGTGATGGAATATAGCTCCGCGTGTTGGGACCCGTATAGGGTTGGGCAGATAAATTTGTTAGACAGTATTCAAAATAGAGCAATAAAACTTGCTGGAAAAAACATTGATCAAACTCAGATGTGGGAACCCTTAGGCAAACGTTGAAAGATCGCTAGACTAGTAAACCTTCTGAAAGCGTACAATGGATGTAAAGCGTTAAATGACATTCGAACTAGGATAGGGCACCCTCAATATTTCGGAAGAGGAGATCATCCATACAAAATCAAATATAAGAATCAAAAAACCGACGTAGGTAAATACTCTTTTGCCAACCGGACAATAACTGACTGGAACAATTTACCTTCTGCAGTGCTGGCGACTTTTCCCTCCAGTTTGCGTTGCTTCCAGAAACGCCTAGAGAATTGCGTGTGATGCCAAATAACTGTGTATGTTAGGTCTTCTTAGACATTTTCCTTAGTTTTACGTTCGTTAGTTTTTACTTAGTTGTACTCTTCATATTATATATATGTAATATTAATGTCTCTGTATATGTGCTGTATTTTGCTCTGCCACCGAGCAAAAGCTCATTAGCAGAAAAATAAATATTATTATTATTATTACATTATCTGGAAAAGGGACAATTGTTCCTTCCAAGTGTTTACCCAGTGTCTGTAAAGTATGTAGTTCTATATTATTTCTAGTTACTTCTATATTATATTTAGTTACTTCCTCCATGTGTATTTATGTGCACAGCATGTCACATGTTACAATTGTACCATATTAGGAAACAGGGTTTTTAATGTTGGGAACGCTTTAATCGTGTACGGTGCAGCATCAGTTACCATGAGGAGCAGCCTCTCGACCCCCATCTCCTCATTATTTGGCAACTAAATAAGGCGACGCGACTTACTTTCTGTGGAGGATGGGTTGGGAAAGAAGATGTCTTGCCACATAAGGTCGAGCTGAGGCGGCCAAACGAATACATGGTGACAGATGACAGCAGATATTACTTCGGTGATGTTGGCCATCAGTTGTCTAAATTCCATTGTACTAAAGAATTTGAAGCATCAAGAAAGGTCATGCTTTGCATTAATAAATATTTTTTATGTGGAAATTACTTATATTGTGACCACTTTCTATAATGTATGTCTTAATCATTTTAGAATTGTTCAGGGTTATATAAACAATATTTTTGTTTTTAATTAATGTTGTATCTCTGAATGTAGATTTTTTTAGTTTATACTTTGTTTCTTGACATTCTATGTTCTCTTGTTTAAAAAGATGATTGTCTGGTTTACATTAATGTAAAATACTAATGAAGTTGTTTTGTATGGCATACTTTTTACTGCTGAATTTCAATATACACGACTCCTATATAATTTATTTATGGGAAGTATAAGTAACATCAAATATTTCTGTTTCACCCCCAGGCAAGAGGAGGTAATTCCTTTTCAGCAGTATCACATTTCTGCTTTTTGTTCCATTGTCATCTTATAAATTGTACAAAACTGCCATCTTCCTTAGTGTATTAGTCAAAAGTCTGAAAAAATTATCTTTTGATTGACACTTCATTTGTAAAGATTCACTGAGTAGATGAGATAAAAGAGGATCTTTACAAGAGAGATGTTATATGTTGTTTATTTTGTCATCTATTAGCCCATAATCCTGTTTGTTCAATTGCCATATATTTTTCTAATAAACTTATTCTTATACTTGTATTTATAGTTCCATATTCTCCGAGTGTCTGTTGTTTATTCATATTTAAACACTATTAAAAAAGGGAAAAACATTTTTAAAAGAAAAGAATATTGAAAATATAGTAATATTAATTGGGCACCATAATTTTGACAATCCATTTAAAGAAATATTAAACAATTAAAGAATATCCAGTAATTACTTATTAAAAATGAGATTCTGGGTTTTATATTTCTTAAATTACTAACTTTTTAATTAATTTCCAGACAGATGCAGTGACTTCCGTCATATATCAAGCTTAAATGGTCTTAATGACGAAGAAGGTGACTTGAAAAGCAGTAGTAATTGCAAGAAACAGAAGATGTGTTCAATACCTCACATTCATATTGACGTGTGTTGTCTAACAAATAAGGCGCAACTTTTCATTGGTATCATCTTTGCACTCTTAGTACAAAGATGTACAATATAAAGTAATAATAATCATTTAAGAGGGAAAGTTGACTGATGTACAATGTTGGTGCGTGCCTTCTTCCAGTCATGTTGTTCTGGTCATATTTGTATATATAAATAGTTGGCACCATCGAAAAGCTAGGAGAAAAGTTTGTACAATATTGTATATTTAGAAACAAATAATTATATAACTTTTTGTATTTCTATTTTTAAGAAAAACATTTATTTTGTAAATTGAAAAAATGTTAATGGTATTTGTGTGACGAGGTTGTGGATTGAAATTGCTATGTTTGGGAAGTTCCTCAGTGTGTCTTGCTTCCGTCTCCTTAATCCCCCACACACACACTCGCGCATATCCAAAGCTTTGCCAAATAAACTGTACATAATGTTATGTTAATGACACTAAGCTTGTTAATTTAATTTTTTTTTATATTTAAATGCAACTTGACCTTAAATGAAGTGTTCTAATTTGTTTCCTTTTTCCAGTCATTCATAATATTTATTTTTATGTGCAGAATTTTTAAAACTTTGTTTTCAAGAATCTCTTTTTTGTTATGAGAAAGGATCTCATCTCTTCTGAGAGAAAAAGTTCTGCAAAGAAAGTTATTATTTTCTTATGTATGACATATGTTTGAAAAGAAGTGTGTATCTATTGTCTTTGAATTTCTGAAGTCATGTTTAAAATTCTAAATATCCAAACATTTAAAGATTGTTAGATCTGAAGCTGATTCGTTAATAAATAGTTTATTGATTAATGTTTGTAATTGCTGAAAATTGTGTTCTCATTTCTAAACATCATTATTCTATACATTGATAGAACAGTACTTATTAATATCAGAAGAAGGTTTGGAAAAATCCAGGGTGATAAAAAACAAAGAAAAAAGAACTTTGGGGCGGAGGATAGTTGGAGAATTTCTTTTTTAATTTAGTTCATACAAAATACTAAAGTTTGTTTTAAGAACAATCATATTGAAATATATTCAGTACTTCCTGCAAGTATATATATGGTGCATCCAACGATTATTCCCCTTCTCTCCAATTTTAAGATTTCAAACTCGTGTAATAATTATTGGTAAAATACATTTTCCTTCATATTATTGTGTTTGGGTAGTAAAGTAACAAATGCAAAGTAATATGTAGCAAAGTTGCAAAATCATTTCACATTTTATTCTAAGGTTATTTTGTACTTGTAAATGTTTGTATGTGATTTTGTTATGAAATCAGAGGTGTCAATAACAGCAAGTAGAAGTTTGTTTTTTATTGTGAGTTTATTTAATTTGAACCTTGGTTTTTTGTTGTTTTTGGTACCCGAATGTATTTGTTGTGATTCAATTTCAGTTTTTATTGAATATTTGAACACACCAAAGTAAAAGTTTTTATATTTTATTTGAAATAATTGAAAAAAATGATAAAAACATTTAAATGTTTATAATGGGTACTAGGTTGTTTTTTTTCCGTGGGTTTAAAGAATGGGTGGGTCTTTTAGGTTGGAGAAGCATTCAATTTAATTCATTATACCGTATTTTATGTGGTGAGGCTCAGAACATTAGACTTGCTCATACACATGACAGCATAGATTCTGCTATACCTCCTTTCTCCATTTTCCCGAGAAAGGAGATATGACTTGGGTGATGAAACAGGTGATTTAAATTTTGCTCAGAGGCTTGATGTTTTACACACAAGTTTAATGTAAACGTGGGATAGCTGGTTTTACCCCCCCCCCCCCCTCAAAGAAGGCCCCCTCTCACTTAAAATCAATCAAAACATTAGTTAACCCACATTAGAAGTATTGTCCAATAGGAATATAATAGCAGATCATCAGCTGGATGCAGTTATCCAATCAGGAGCTTCGTTACGACTTCAATTTCCAGTATTGAAGCTCCCAATTGGATAACCGTATCACAGCTGATAAACCTTCGCAACTCACTATATTTAAATTGGACAAAGAAAATAATAATCATGGGTTGATTACTCTAAACTTCACAGAATTGAATGATATTCATTTCATGAGACACTTATGAAGATCAGATAATTTATTTATTGACTACTCAGACCTCTGGACCAAACAAAAATTAATTTTTAAATGAATGAGGAATTGCAATAATTAAAGTAAACATTATCATTCTTCCATATCCTCAACTTTGGTTTATACAAAATAAGGCTAGGGTAATGAAAAATGTCAATTGCCTTGTCCTGCATGAAACCCTCTCCCAGCTCACTATCAACATGGGTAGGTGTGTGAAGATAAGTTACTGAATCATAATAGCATAGAGAAATAATGTTCCTCTTTAATTATGGAGTGCTGATCTAAAAAAAGTGTTTGCTCTGAGTCAAGGTACTTTACATGAATCTCAAAATGAAATATAGCTTGTTCTTAATATTGATACTTTGGTAGTTTTTTTACAAATTAAGATTTTTTTTTTAGGAAAAATGTATAAAGTAATGTCCTCTTTTACAATGAGATTTAAAAACTGAAATTTGGAGTAGTATTTTTAAAAATGAGCTATTTTGAAAATATAGCATTTAAGGTAGGAGTGGTGTAATTAGATACTTGTTTTCTATTACAAACATGTACACATCTACACATTAATATACTTCCGTACTCTCATACATTTTTATATAGTAAGAGATTTATTATGATATCTGTCATAATCATTGTATCAATCGTAGGAGTTTTACTCAATTTCTGGGCTGATGGTTACAGAAGAGATTTGTATTTGTTTTTCCCTGAATAATAATGATGGTGGCAATGATCTTATGAGAATTAATGGTGTTGATAGATAATAATTTTTTATTGCTTATAAACTTCCATAAATCATCAAACAAAGTCAGTCTAGAAATTAATTAAAATTACAGTAAGTTAATTTCATTAACTTTCAGTAATAATATAATAAGACTACATTATCCTTCTAAATTACGTGATAAAAATATACCTAATTGATTAATATAGACAATTACATCAATTTAAGGAATAACGAATTACATTTGATGACATAACTTACGGTAATAATGCAAATTGTTTACTCAATGAATTACGTGAATAATCATGCAATTCCTCATATTAAACATTAAGGTAAATTACATTTTAAACTACACAAAGCCTCATTAACAAATAAAATTAACAATAAACTAGTAGCTTATGATAGTGGCAAAAATAGCTCACAATTAGAGTGAGTAATTCCCTTATCTTACAGTAGCAGTTTAATTAATTTACAATAACTTTAATACATTAGGTGTACGATTAATGATAATAATTACATTAATTACAATATCTTGACATATAATTACATTATTTACTACATTACTGTATAGTATATTGCCTTATTGGACTGAAAGATGACAGGTACGAAGAGTGGTCACTCTTGTAGCGGTTCATGGTTTTTAATTACAGAATGTTGAAGCAATTCAGATATCTTGTATGGACACACACTAATAAGATGACATTTAAGCAGTGTTTTGAAGTATTTATCATCAGCAGTTTTTATTTTAACTGAGAGTTTATTAAAGAGCTGTGCAGCCATGCGGAAAGGATCATTGTTAGTTGAAGACTTGCTAGTGTATATCCTGTGGTAGTCCCTATGTCCTAAAGGACAGTGGTTATGTATCTCTTTATGGCTCACAAAATATTGATTTTGATTATTTGACAATAGTAATAATACTTTGTAAGAGTAGAGTGCTACAACAGTGAGTAATTCATATTTAATAAAGAAATCTTTACAGGTCTAGGATTCAGTTCTTATACATTCCTTTTGTAGGACCATTAATTAACCCATATTTTTTTGTGAACCCCGAATTTCAATGCCGTATTGAAGTTGAGAGAAGATTGTCTCATAATATACTGAAATAAGTGCATCAATTTCCAGGTATCTGGAAAAGTACCTCAGGAGTTTAAGAGTTTTATATTAGAGTTTATTTTATTACAAAGTGTATCAACTTGTTTGTTATATGTTAGGTTTTGATCTATGAATATTCCTTTGACTTCTTGTACTGGGTGACCTTATGAGGCTTATGTTTCTTACATTTTTTGCAGTAAGTACGCCTCTGTTTAGGTATGTTCACCTGTAAAGAAGCATCGTTTAGAAAATTTCTAACAAGAACAAGCTGAAGATTTGGTAATCTTACCTGGTAAATACGAGAACTGAGCACCCATATTGTGAAAACACCCATGGCAATATAACCATATTGTGAAAACACCCATGGCAATTGAGGAAATTGAACTTACAGCATTTGGCTGACAGCACTTTGATAATGCTTCCTGACCTGCACTGACACAGACAGCTTTGTGTATATTGGTATGCCAAGTACTTATGGAAACAAGCCAGAATTTTCAAAATAACAGTTTTTTTTTAATACGAATAAAACATTGGAAATTCCTAATGAATCAGAAATATTCAAAACTTTTTAGTGATATGATAAGGATCTGAATAGCTGAAATCATGCCCGAAGGTGTTGTTTTGTCACATGAACTTTGAGCAATATAGTTTCATTATTTTAAAAGATTAATTTTCATTGCTTTCCAAACTTTTATCACTTGTAGATTTGTAGCTTTGCATGCACAAGATTCAAGGAACAAAACCTGTGTTTAATTTAGGAAAATAATGAATTCTTTTTTGTTAATGTGAACTCAGGGTTGGAATTACATTTATTTATTTGTCATAGTACAAGTGCAGTGGAAAACCCTAATTTCTGGAGTGCACACAACTTACATCCAACATCATGGCTTCCACAAATATAGAAATACAATTATAGATATGATTTTTAGTTATTTGATTATAGTCTGTTGTTGATAAATGCGTTTAACAAGATGTATGACTTCAGTGTTGAGAATCGAGAATATCAGTGTAATGTGTAGTAAAAGAAAGCGCCAAATGTTGTGTACGGTTATTTATTGTACTAATCTTTTTCGGGAGTGTTTTGATATTTACACTTTGAAATAATGTAATTTCTCTCTGACCACCGGATACAATATGGCCACATGACCACTTCCTGATCTTCGTGAAACCTGCATCTTACGTCGCGCACGTGAGATTTGGGTTTTTAGAAACCCCTATTAAGTTGCCACGATAATTAGTGAGCAGTTACAATGGTACGTGCGTGAAAATCTTTTTGTATTATTTATCCAATACTTAATAATTTTTATATAAAAATGCGAAGTGTGGAAATATTTTAATAATAAGAGAAGCATGTTCGGGTGTGGAAATGAATTTCACTGTTTCTATGAAGTCGTGTATATTGTTATAACTGTTATTTAATACGTTTTATTTTGCAAAAAGTGATTTATTTTGTTAGTGTTTTTGGTTTATTAAATGTATTCTTGCCATGAGCGATGGCGTGGGGTAACGAGTTATGCACGTTCACATCTAATAGCTTTGAATTTTCAGTAGAATGTACTAAAATACTGAAATAACATCGGAGATGTAATTATTTTAAGGGGCTTAATGTGGTTGTAATCTGAATATTACTTAATTACGTCGTGTAACGATTTTTAGTTTCTTGGGAGCTCAGTTCTCGTATTTACCAAGTATAATTACCAAATCTTCAGCTTGTTCTTGTTAGAAATTTTCTAAACGATGCTTCTTTACAGGTGAACGTACCTAAACAGAGGCGTACTTACTGCAAAAAATGTAAGAAACATAAGCCCCATAAGGTCACCCAGTACAAGAAGTCTAAGGAAAGACAGGCATCCCAAGGCAGACGAAGATACGACCGCAAACAGCAAGGTTTCGGTGGACAGACGAAGCCCATCTTTAGGAAAAAGGTAAAGGATTTTGACTAATATACCATGAAAATGTTTACTTTTAAACAGCATGACTCCTTCCTGGCTGTGTGCAACAAATTCTTTGATTACAAGTGCTAAATTGTATCAATTTGATGACTGACCTTGTTTGTACCAGGTACAGTAATAATATTAATAAATTAACTGCTTTGGGAAGATCCCGGTGGCAGCTCTCCATAAGAACAAATAATACATTTAAATTTCTTGCGAGTTATACCTTAAATTATGTACGCTATAAACCCGTATTTTTTCTTACAAATTATGACTAATACTAAACGAATACAAAATTTGAATACTCTAGTCTAACATATGTACAATTATTAGTATTTTTAACTTATGTTTTTAATTCGTTTTTGAATTTTCCCATATTCTGAGGTAGTCTTTAGTAGTACTGCAGGTAATTCATTCCAGTTTTTTATTGTTCGGTTAACAAAAGAAAATTTTCCAATATCTGTTTTTACCTTCTCTCCATAATTTTGCAATTGCGATCATGACGACTGATTTTAAGAGTCTCTTCTGAATATCCGTCCAAGGTGGTTCACTTTTGTAAGCTCTGAAGAGAGCACAGAGTCTAGCTGTTTCCCGAAGTTTCTACAAGGATTTCCACATGGGACTATTTGAATTTATTTTTCCTTGTAATACAAATTTTTCCGTAACTTTTTGAATTTCATTTAAAGTATGTACTTGTCCTACACGGTAAGGATTCCAACAACTTGAACCGTATTCAAGAATAGGTCGAACTAGCAACATGTATGCAAGTTTCCGCGATTCAGCTCTCCCTCGTGTAAGTGTGGTTATTCTGGTTATCTTAGAATAAGGGAAATAAGATAATTGGACCAATTGTGAAATTTTAGATCTCCGGAGGCTTGTCATGTTGCCATGTAATACTTTTTACAATGAATGGTGTAATTTTGAAAGTTACAATCGTGTATGTATTTTCAGTTGAAGTACTAAAGGTGATCACAATTCAGCCTTGCATTATATTAAGTCGTGGGTATAATGGAGAGGTTTGATATCTATTGAGGATGTAATAATTCTTATTAATGACACTCAAAAAATAAGAACTACTGAATTTTAACAATGTACATCACAGGGAATCTGTTGAAATTCTGGAAATGGGCCATGTTTTTATGAGCTTGTAAGGAAGCTTAGCAACATGTTTTCTTCTTCTGAAAAGCCTCAATTTGAGGTGTGTATTCTCAAAATTAGACTATTTGAATATATTCAAGGGTGTTTGATGTGCTTCCATTAAAGTGTTTTTTATTATAATAATTGCCAGTGTAGAAGACGCACCCCTATTTTCAAGACTGATTTCTTTCTTTATTGTTAAACTTTATTATTATTTTTATGAAGAAATAGGAATTATGACCTGAGAAAAGCACTGACCTTTTCTCCATATTCTTGGTAATCTTTGATATTTTTCTAGGACACATTCCTTTACATTATGCTCGGCAAACCTATGCTATCTTTTGCCTCTTATTAGGTCGCCATATCACATTTGTCACATAAAATGTCTGGAAGCTATCTAACTCTTGTTTTTAGAATGGCTGCCTTTAAACTCAACTTACCTGTTTCTTATATAACCTATGGTTACCCAGCAATAGCTTAGTCACTCCATATCCATACACTTAAATCTTATAGAAAATATAAATCTCTTATTTCTTTTTCAAATTAATTCATGGAATCACAGAGAGTCTTCATCTGGTTCAGCAACTTTGCTTCAGAGTCCCTGCTATCAATATTAGAACTACAAGTGTTTTTTACTGTAATATGCTCAGAGCCTCATATACCAACAAAAACCCTATAAATAAGACTTGTTTCTTAGTCAACACTTGTAAAATTGATGTTTTTCAAACTATCGTATGTGACCTTCAGAAATCATTGTGAGCAAGAAATGTTGGAGTTCGCATGATGTCATTATTTTGTTAACTTATTTATACTCCACCAACTACTTTTCTTCACAGCTTGAATTCATGAAACTCTTATTGTAATAATTACATGCCGAACAAGAAGAGGGCAACCCTACGATCGCTACACATTACAAAACTCTCAAAACATATTTTTCAGCAAGAGCCCGTTGCTGTTTTGTTCGTTTTACCATTAGAACACATGGTAGCCAGTTGTGCGAAGTGTCAATTGGGAGGCCTGTTTTTGCACACGTTTCTTTGCAGGAGGAACTAATCATGATGCTAACATTTCATCCAATGATTGACCTCTTCAAAACTAGAATATTAGTTTTGTTCTTGAATATTACATTTGAAATGAAATGCAGTTTCATCATTTGCGACATTACTAGTGTGTTTAAAATAGAACAAGGTATATTTTTTTGTAGTACATTTTATAGTATTGAACGTTTTGTTTGTTTGAGTGGTAGGTTTCAAAATGTACCGTCAAAAGGTAGGTTATGATCTCACACATGATGAATGAAGTTGTGTTGCAACAAATTGAAATTATTAAATTCCTTCATTCATCACGTACAAGGTTGATATAACTTTCAACTAATTGTTGTATATGTTTAACGTTACAAAAAAATGTTTTATTTTGTCTAGGCTAAAACCACCAAGAAAATCGTGCTCAGAATGGAATGCTCAGAATGCAAGTACAGAAAGCAAGTGCCCCTTAAGCGCTGCAAACATTTTGAACTTGGAGGTGACAAGAAACGCAAGGTGAGAAAGAGTTTTGTCACTTTAATGATATATTGTGAGAGAATAAATGACTTAACATGCCCGCCACAAAATTCATGTTTATTAAAAGACCCCTTGTAGTAAAGCAAACAGTTTAAATGGGGATGTACACGGGGAAAATTATTATGGAAATATAATTTGAGTAATAAGTTGAAATTTTATAAAAGGTAATAGTATTTAATCTTAATATTTAATTTCACAAATTTCTGAATTTGACATGTTTTAATTTTTAATTTGCTTTTTAAGTAATTCACAACATTGTGACATAGTATTTGTGTGCCAAACATTGTTTTCAATCAGGGTGGCCACTACAGGAGAAATGAGGCAAAATTTTGGTATTTTGTGGTTGGGAAAATACGAGGATTGTTAGCAGTCATGGAACTAAAGGTTACTTCTTATATACACTGCAAAGTTTGGCAATGAACTTTCTTAACATGTTAGGTGTGAAGAAAATTTCACTTCTATGGGCAGGCACATGCTACACATTTTGCTCCTCAGAATCACTATTCTTTAAACTAAGGTTCCTTCTGGCATTAATCACCGGTATGTTGCTAGAGTGGTCTCAAGGTTGCTAGATGCATACTAGAGGGCTAAAGAATTAAACAGTTGTTTAGAAAGCTTTGTATATTTTGATCTATTGTATTCCTAAGAATTTAAATAATGCAGGTGTATTTGAAGGGTTTTCTAATTGTTCATGGCAGTTTGGTCTGTTTAGTGATAGTTTCAGCAGTGGAAATGTGTTAAGATGCTAATTTCAAGTTCTTGAATAATGAGAATAGGAAATAATGAGTTCATTAATTAATAAAATTATCTACCAGCCAATGTTCGTTTTATATTTAGCCTGCATCATGACTAAATATAAAGTCTCTTTACACGTCCTTTATCACCATTTTCACCCCATATGTCACCAATATAAAATTGTTTCTCAAGTGGAGCTTTTCTTAATTGTTCTAATTTATATTTAATGGAGATGCTAATGCAATTTTTCTTTTCTTTTTTTTAGGGCCAGATGATCCAGTTCTAAGAATTGTATAATATCCATTGCTTCAAAAATAAATGAAAAATGTTTCTAAAAGGTTTTTCTTTTTCTTGTGCATGCCAAGTACCTTGCTTTTTGTTTATGGAACTGATTTAAAGGATATTTTTTCCAACAGTGGTAAAATCCTAATTTTTTTGTGTAAATGAAAACATTTGGATAAATATTGTTGTAATAAACTGTTTTGCACTTCCGTATTGAAATAATTTGTTACAGCCATGTTATTCCTTTATGGTGATGTTGCAAAGATCACTCTAGATCTTTTTGAAAAATTGTTGAAAGTTGGTGCAACTATGAAACGATGTATTATTCATTAATATAAAGAAAACACATCTTTTACTTTTTTCATGGGACCCTAGTAAAAATGGTGTACATTGGGGGAAGTGTAAATAAGGGGAAATGCCTTTTTTCTTCAAAACTATGAGTATAGTAAAATGTATTTAGGTACAACCAATTTTATAATATGCTTTAATATGCAATATTACACATAACAAATAATAGTACATGGTCCAATAGAAATCGGAGAATTTGTGACATTGGAAATCGATGTATTAACTGAAGCAAAGTGAATTTTAAATGTTGCAATGACACTTCCACAAGTCCCTGCCATCCACTTATGGAAGTCTTTGACAATGCAACAATGTACTTGTTGGTTGAAGGGAAATGGTATTTGTACACAAAGAAAAAAGCAAAAAAACAAACTGAACTTTACATTTTTCCCAACTCAAAAAAATACATTTTTCGGCAGTTCATATCGATTTCCAACTAACTATTATTTAAATATATTTATGAAATAATAGAAAGGTTCAGGAAACAAATTTACAGTTAAAAATGTACGGAGGATTCCATACTCTGATGTTTGAGCTAGTAAAGGATGGGGAGAAATTACTATTTCTGAATGAGAAAGTGTGAAGCTGTGAGTGAGGATGATATAAAATTATCGTGAGGTTCTCTCTCTTAAGCCTGTCACGTGATGTTGCATTAATGTGCGTCACCTAATGCTGATGACGTCAGCTACATCAATGCCTGTGCACAGGTCACAACAGGTGGTGTTGATTCACACTATCTAATGCAAAATGGCACACAAGGCTCTTGACATGAGTAGTGCCCACAGCTCAAGCTACAACTTTTAAGTTTTCTAGCTTTCAAAGCTCGATGCCCACTAGGCGACTAGTGTTGACAACAATTCATGTCACCAAGAGCACTCGTGTGTCATTTTGCAAAAGATACTGTTAATCTACCATGCACTTAATGGATTCGTGTGTGCAGGCATTGGCACAGCTGGCGTCATGAGCGTTAAGTGATGCCAGACAATGCACCGCTTGTGGGGCAAAGACCTTGTGTTCTTCTACCAACACATATCAGTCAATTTTTCTACTTTTTAAATACCTCTGTAATGTCATGAAATGAAAATTTGTGTAGATGTAGCTGCTCAATAACGATTTTCACTGTATTTAAATTTTCTAGTTGTCTTGTAACATTTCATAACTCTGCAATATTGCACCATTTCAACAGCCTTTCTGATATGGCTATCGTGCATTGTGCATGATGCAAAGTGCTTTCCAGATGTTGTGGCAAGCAAACTTGTAAATTGCAGGAAAATCGAAATTAAACCATCTTAAATGTGGGGTATTTATAACACGAATATTGATGGGACCAACAAGAAATGTAAATGCTGGGAAAACGTTAATTACGGGAACGCAGGTTTACTGTAATATCGACATGTTTTGGAATTAAACTATTGTTAATCTCAGATACACACGTGGATGCATTCACATTGAAAATTGGACGAGTAGAGATCCTATAGTGAAAAATGATTCATAATGTTCAGTTGAAAATGGGGGTTGAAGAACATCAATGTGTTCTGTTGTAGCTGGTAAGTTGTGAACAATTCCTTGGTGTTACTTGTGAAAGATGGTCTTAGAAGCTCATTCTCACCCATCATAGAATTTTCTAGACTTTAGTTATCAGAAGACTTTGTCATTTGAGATTTCTGTTGTGACTCAAATTTTTGAATTACAGGAAATATGGTCGATTAGTGTGCTAATCCTTCAGTGCAGGAAAATTACCATTATTTATATGGTAAACTAGCCCCTCATGCACGTCGCTTAAATTTTGCTACTTTCCACTTTAAGGGTTTCAGAGGGCCAATCGAAACAATACACTGGTTTGGGGTTGGATTGAAGTAATGAATGGAATGTTTTTATTATTAAATAAACTTGTAAATTAACCTTTAATACATTATGCATTTTGCACATTTGATTTTCAGTAATTTAGAATCTTGTTTTTTGAATGTTCTTTGCAAAAATTGTTTTTTCAATCACAGAAAAGTGATGACGTAAATATAATTTACAATAATTTTATATTGCTTCTTCTGAACTTATATTCCTATGTATCTCAAAAACTTGAATATGTTTTATGGATATTAAGATATCTCGCTCGTTTGAAATAATTTGTCTGCCAGTTTCTTAAAATATATACTTTTCTCCATGGATATTACAATCAGTCATGATGCATTTTAATGAAAACTTCATAAAAAATTCCTCAATCAAAGCAGCAACATGGATCATGTTATATAATACCCTCATGGGATATCAACAAGTTCATCTTTGATGTTTCTCGGTTCCTCTTTTCCAACCTTCTCTACCCACTATATCATCCTGTGTAAAATGTCTTGCCCCATCACAGTCTGTATTCCTTGTTCCCATGGGGTTGATGGTCTGCCCCATCTTTTACACAGTGGTATCCGTTTACTGTATTTACCTAAATATAAGACTTTTTTTTTTTTTTAATTAAATTTCTGTCTATAAATGCGGAGTTGTCTGACATTCACAGATTAAGCCTAGTTGGTTAGGAATGATGTTTTTACATTGCTGTTCCATGTCACAAAACTCGTGAATGTTGACATAATAATAAACTGCAAAGATGGGAGAAAATATTGCACGTATCAATACATAATATTTGTTTGTATTTTTGGCATCCACCGCGAATTAGTCGTGTAATTCAGACCAATGTTTTTGGATGGCCTAGTAAAGAGACTCTCCAACCGAATGGCATTGTATCAAATGAAATTGGATGCTGAGTGTTAGTTATAAGAAAGCTCGATGCCTGGCAAATACAAAATACAAATATGCGATAGAACGCAAACAGGCCATCAACAAATGCAAGACGGGTAGAAAATCTTGGAACAGAAGGGAATGTCTGATTACTATGAACAATGCAAAATAGAGTTCGCAAAACTTTCAAGAGAGGCCTACAAAATCAGAAAATATCACACCATAGGTGGACCAAAAAGAAAAGAAAAAAAAAACAACAACAAAAAACATTGATACATGTGAAGATAAGGATAGTGTCAAAACTACAATTATGATATTAAGGAGCAAGAAAATCATCGTTGAACAATAACTCTTTAAATTCTCATCAAGGCAATTTTCTAGTCAATAAAATGTTTTGTAATTTTATTTTGACTAATAATTAGTTAAAAATTGTCAGGAGACGACTTCAGAATTAGGGGGTTGTCTTTTATTTGAGTAAATATGGTATATACTTGTTTCGGCCACCTCTCTTCTGGCACTCTTGGCAGATATCCATACAATTGAAGCAGTTTACATTCCACAGTATCTATTAAATCCTTTTGAATTTCCGTTTCCTCTTTATTCATCAGTCCATTTGTATTTTCAATAATCTTTTTTTGTTTTGGGATTAATTCCCGTATTTCCAAGTCATATGTGACAATACTTTCCATTATGTTACTGTTGTTGTTTTTTGTATCTGGGACTTCCACAGAAATAGATTAAGCATATTTATGACTAATATCCCTTGATTTATCTTATTAATATCTTTATTACTTGTGTACTATTTTGAAACTGTCAAGCCCAAATATTCAAAATCATTGCATAATTGTATTTTATCATTTCCAGTATACATATCATTTCCATATTTTTATGTTACCATATACTTTATTTTGGAGACAGTTAAGTGCAATCCGCATAGCTCAAATTCCTGTTTAACGTTTCTAACCATACAGTTAATATCCTACTCATCCTCGGCCATGATGACCAGATCAGCCGCGAAAAGTAGAACATCAAGTGTTGATTCTCCAATTTGCATTCCCATTACACTGCATTTCCTCCTCCATTGTCTCAGAGCTTCAGTCATGAACATGTTAAAAAGAGTTGGGGACATAACAGTAGACCTTAATCCTTGGAAATTGTTATATCATCTGATACTTGTCCATTTACTTTCACAAGATTGTTACTGTCTTTGTACATTTTTTTAACGGTGTTAACTAATTTAAAATTACATTTTTGTTCTAAAATTTTAAAAAGTCTGCTAATAGGAATGCTGTTACACGCTTTTTGGAGGTCAACAAACAACAGAGGAGAATCTCATTCACAGGCTTTCCTTTTTTCTAAAATTTGTTGGATGCAGAAAATAATATCTTCACATGAACGGCTAGCCATAAAACCACTTTGATCTTCCAAATTTTTTATCTCTAACTCAATTATTTTTCAAATTATTTGCCCATACAGTCTACTAATTGAACTCGTGACATTAATGCTTCTATAGTTTTCACAATTTTCTTTATTGCCTTTTTTATGAATCCATTCGGCTGTTTTTCAACTCTTAAGGAATTGGTTCTTGATCAATGAGACATTTATTAAATAGTTTTACAATTTCTTTCATTTGATCTGGAGCTTGTGTTAACGGTTCTACTGGTTTCCCTCCTAGGCCTAGGGATCTATTATTTTTCATCCCTCTCAGATCCCTCTTACTTAAATTCTTTTAGAGTTATTTTTGGTATATCTTCATTAATTTATATATTATCTGCACTATACTGACGTACGTCTGTGGTGTTCTATCCTCTCTTATACGTTCTTGAAAATACTTCCCAATATTTAATATTGATTGGTGACATTCTGAATTTGCATGATACATCTGTTTTGAGTTATTTTATTGATTTCCATGCTTCTCTAGACCTATTGCTTCCCGTTAACCTACTTACTTAAGAGCATTTTGTTAGCCCTTTTAACCTTCCCATTGATATTACTATACGCTATTGTATTGTTTAGATTTCCTGAGCTAGCCATTTTTTATATTTCGCTTTCTTCCCTTCAATCATTGCTTCAAATCCTCATTTCATCAATATGATTTTCTTTCCTTTATTTTGGACTTATCACCTAATGCTTCAAACGCTGCTTCTTGGATAACTGTTTTTATTTGTTCATATAATTCACTTGCTGGCCAATCTAAATTTATATAGGAAACTAGTTGAGTCATTTTGTATGTTATCCAACTGATATATTTTTGGTTAACATGGGCATGAGTTTCTAGAATTTTGATCTTTTGGAAGTTTGGTTTGTGAAAAAGTAAATAGGTGCTCTAACTAAATAGCTACCACATTCTGCTTCTCTTAATACTCTTACGTCTTGGCATTTCAGAGGAATTCTGTTATGCATTAATTTAACATAATCAATTAGTGACTTAATATTCCTGGTTGGTTGTGTCCACGTGTAATTAAGGATATCTTTGTGTCTATACCCATTCATGATTTTAAGATTTATCTGACTTCATCAATCTATTAATCTCTCTCCATTTTTTATTACATACTTGTTCTCCATTACTACCCACTATGTTTTGTTATATGCGAGAATAATGGATTTCTTTTTTTTCATCATTACTTGGTGTGATGCATAGAACTAAGCAGATAAATAATGTTCTTAGCTTGTATTAAACTATTGTAAGATTTCCGTGGAGTTCAAAACTTCCAAAATGTTAGTCTCTATCGTTATAATCTTGCATGTCGGATAATACTCCATGTGTGCTGGTTTGCAGATCTCCAATCAATGTTAGTTTCTTCTTCGTTAGATATTCAGCTAGATGTATGGGGGTATACAATTATCAGTTATGTTATAACCACCATTGAATAATAGCAGTAACAAATCAATTCCTGTATTTGAATGAAATCTTTTACACCTGGTTCAGCTTCGCTTTTCCCATGTTTTGCCTTAATGTAAATTCTCTGAATCTCAAAACCAAAAAAATCTTTATTCCATATACTGAATCTTCATCTTAACATGCAACCAGTGTTTGAGCGCACTTGTTCTTGTTTAGGCAATTTGGCAACCGCATGCATTCAACTCCTTTCAAGACAACTGTGGCTGGCACATCGAGGCAGCAGAGGAGGATATGAATGTTAGGTTGGCAGCTGCAGCAACTTTTTTTTTTTTTCTTCTTCTTCTCCATTTTAGAGTTTAGGTTGGCAGGTTCGCGGCTCACACCAGAATATTTTCACACGCAGGGTGGGTAGGCAGAGAAACACTTGAGCAGGCAAACAAAACTCTCTTAAGGCAATTCTGTCCAGTATGCTTCAAAACAAAAATGTAATAATGATGTGGGGGGTAGTGGTGACTGCTTTGTCTATTTACTAACAGCAACATTACAATAATTATTGTTTTTAAAAAGCCGGCTCAGAGAGTAATTGTAAAAAATCTCATGAAACATTACTGCCAAGATCTTCATTCTTTATAGCATTAATTGCCAAACCAAGAAGTGGTGTTTCCAGACATAGGTTGCGAGTTAAAGGAAAGTAAGTGTGGCCATGATTTGTCACTTGCACAGTCCAAGTAAATAACAGTCTGGAATGAGTATATAAATCCCAATCATACAAATGCATGTTTTATGCTTTAAAAGAATCATTAAGGGAAAACGGTCACTGGGTCTCAGATTGGATAGCAAAAGTATCTACAGAAAAGTTAAAAATTATGAAAAAATCTCGTCACTTACCATCCTTTGTCATAAGATAATAAACATAACAGAGGGTATCATTAAAATGGCACGTAATGTGAATGTGAAAATATTTATAGTATTAAGAAACTGCTGTACCTGAGACCCTTTAAGTGCTCTGGAGGGCTAATGGAATGACAGGCTTTTTCTATACTAGTTAGTTTCGTATTCTATTGTCTGGACTGGCTTTTTGGTATTACCCCACCCTTTCCAGGTATTGGTGGCGTGAGACATTTTTTCAGTTTCATTCCTCAAATGGTAGAATAGAATTGTGACTTCTGAATATTACAGAAGAGTAAAACTTGGTCCTATATGCAAATTTTTGTTTAAAAATATGGAGCTGTTTTGATAAAATATTGTTTTATCAACATAACTTGAGTTTTCAAGAAACTTGATTCAACATTTTTTTAACTTGTACTCGCAAACGCAATAATATATAAAAAACAACTCCTAATTTAATATTAACAATGTGAGATAATAATACATTGAGTAACTTTTGAAAACAAAAGATAACATCAAAAGAGAGTTTTTATCATACTTTTCTGTACATTTAGCACTATCTAAACCAAATTCAAAGAAAGAATTTGGAGCCATTGTTGATAAAATCTTGTTTTTTAAAATGATTCAAAACTTAACACTAAAAAGAATGGAAATGTACCTGACATTAACATAAGATCTAAGTGTTGAGAACAAATTTTATTTGAA